CCCTCGGCGGGAGCGCTGCCGCGCTCTCAAGCGGCGCACTATAGCAGTGCGCCACCGGGCCGGCCAACCTCTCTATTTCTTGAGTGTGAGAAATAAATTGCTATCTTTCCTGAACAGCAATATTTTCCATGTTAACTACTTGCAGCTGAACCCAGTCATAACCAAACTCCTTTGTTAACAGAAGACCTACTGCATCACAGTGGTTTGATTTTCCATTTTGATTTTTATTTTTGCAAGTCTCCGTGTATTGACTGTGTATTAAATGAATTTCCATATAAATTGGCTTTTAAAATATTAGAAACAGATGTTACTCTGGATCCATTAAATTAAAACACCCTGCTATGACATTCATCAAGAGTCTAACCCAGAAGTAATTGCTTAAGATTTAATGGGTTATAATTAAAATTTAAAAGAAATATGAGAAACTGCCAAACTGTGTTGTCAGAGAGAGCCGATTTCAAGCAATTTAGAATGAAAACCCAACTGGCTTCTGCTAGACATTAACCTAGATATTGATGTGAATATCTGTAAGATCAATGCAGAAACCCTTATACTATCAGAGTCAGGACAGTGGACAGCTCAACAGCAAAGCATTCTAGGATAAGGCTTTGTTAACGCAGTGAGGAAGCCGAGAAGCACCTTTTGTTTAGGATAATACTTTGCCCTTTCAGTGGCAGATCCATAAAGGATGGAATACTGTCTTTCCCAAACCAGTTTTCTGCATGCTATTAGTTCAGCACCATAACCAACTCTGTGAAGGCTTTGAAGAAAAAAAAAAAAAAAAAGACAAACATACTTTAAAAATCATTCTAAGGTGCTGGAATGTCACATCTTTAGAGCATTAAACCTAGTAACATTCAGCAACCACAAGCTATACTATGTCTAACTCTCAGAAAATGAGGTTTCAAACATAGAATAAAAATAAATCTCATAATTTCACTGTGAAAAAAAACTCTGAAGCACAGCCCTAAATTTGCACTGAAGAAAGACACATAAAGAGCAAACAGGATTAATAAAACAAAAATGCAAGAGCAAAGGAACACCTCACACATGCGCAAAACATACTATCCTAAGGGAGACTTTAGTATGATAAAATTCTCTAACACATGTTATCTGCTTAAGCAGGTTTTTATTTAACCAGTGAATACTGTGGCAAAAGAATATGGAATAAATCTTACTGGGCTTTACTATACAAGTCATGTCACACAAACAAGTCAGTGATAAGGGATGCATTACACCACCTCAACATCATACTAAGATATGGACCAAAGGGGCCCTAATAGAATCTGAGTAATCTGCCAGCAAAATGAGAAGTAAATAGTCGTTCAACACTAATCTTAATAGATTTTGATCCATTTGCATTTTCTTCTCCAAGTCCAAAATGGAAAGAGTAAAACCTCTTCTGCTATTTTGCAGCTAATAAAATACTTCAATCTAAAACAAAATTTCATGCTGATATAATTTCTGAGGTTGCTTCTGTGAATTGGTGTTGAAAATTCAGAAAGACACTAAGGAATTAGGACATTTTCCACTCTGGGAAAGGTATGCAAAAATCAAAGCAGCAAATGTGAAAAAAAATTGTAGGCAGAATTCTCTAGAGAACACAGGACTGCAAGACTGCCTTTTGCAGCAAAAAGATACAGTCTCAGGTCTTCAACGAGGTCTTAACCTGTTTGCAGTTTTGTTCATTTGCGACTCTTTGTTTTTGCTGCCTTATGATTTTTCCTTTAGGAAATGTTGACAAAGGCCAACACTTAGAAAACTGAAGAATGATGTGACACTTCCATTCAACCAGTCCTTGTGTGTGTTTCTCTCACTGCTATATTTTTCTGTCTGTTGACCTCTTTAGTCACAAGCGCACACAAATGATGACCATTAGTCCTTCAGAGCAGGAAGGGTGCTTAGGGTCTTCAAACATCAAATGGTGCATTGTTCTAATATGCTTTCGATTGTCCTACTTGAAAGGCAAATAAAGGCCAAACTTAAATTTTAAAAAGCAGCAAAAAAAATACCAAAT